AAATATTAATGATGAAGAGTGGGCCCCACTAACGAAATTTTTTAACAGCAGGATAACAACAAGGTTACCGTATGAAAACAAAAAATATATTGGGGTTACAATGTAGAAAGTGATATATGTTAGGGCACAACGTAGAAAAGTGAAAAAAACAGGTTTACTATATAGAAAAACCCTAGTCTATATTAATTTACCATATGCTAAAAAAAACAACATTTAGTTATTCACTCAATTTTTTCCAGAGGTGATCAAAGTTAGCCCGACGCGATTTTGGGTAGATTTTTTCGGCCCGAAATCGAGTAATTTTTTTTGGTGGGTTTGGAAATGCGTTTTTATACATATTTAGTTGATTTATTAGGCCATGCCCGAAAAGCTCGCACGGCCCACCCATTTTGGACAGGTTTGGACACAAAAATTACGGCATGGCTCGAGTAGTGGGCTTACTTTTAGATTCGATCTGGCCAAACCCGGTCCGGCCCGTCCAATAATCACCTCTAACTTTTTTATCTTGAAATTTGTCAATTTCCAATTTTTTTCAAATTTCACGCAATTATTTAATTATTTTTCACGTGATTTCCCCCCCCCCTTTTTTTTTTACCTTAAAACATAAAAAAAAAAAAAAAAAAAAAATGGATCCAGTCCACCGCGCACACCCTCGGACCCTCCTCTTTCGCCTCTCTCTCATATCTCAGCAAACAGCACCTTACCTCTTACCAAACCACTTCCCACCCTTTTCGCTCCCAATAAATAATCCGCTCCAAAAAAAAAACCACCGTCTTTCTCAGCCGCCTTTCTCCGGCGACCGGAACCCGGCAACTGTTCAACGCCGATGAAAATTCACAACAAGATAACCGCATCTGCAACTCGATACTCCCTTCTTCCGGTGTTTTTTATCCCCAATGTTCAATTCTCAATTATTACCAGTTGTTGATTCCCAAAACTTGGGGTTTTTCCGATTAAACCCTAGATCTGAAAACACTGGATTTTCTTCACCCAAAATTGAGATTCTACTCCTTTAAATCTTGAATTTTTATAACAGAGTTACAATTCATAGTTGGTCGAAAACTATGAAGAGCAGGTCGAATCGTAACCCGACATCCGACCCGCCGGATGACTGGGTGAACGGTTCATGGACGGTGGATTGTATTTGCGGCGTGAATTTCGACGATGGAGAGGAGATGGTGAATTGCGACGAGTGTGCAGTTTGGGTTCACACTCGTTGCGTTCGTTTCGTAAAGGGGGAGAAATCATTTGCTTGTGATAAGTGCAAGAGTAAAGCTAGTAGAATTAACAATGATAGCGAAGAGACGGAGGTTGCGCAATTGCTCGTTGAATTGCCAACCAAAACAATCAAGATGAGTAGTGGGAATAATAATGTTTATAGTACAAGTAATTCTTATGGTTTTAGTAATCATCCTCCACCTCCTCCCCCGCCTCGAAGACCGCCTTATCGATTGTGGGCGACTCGACCGATGGAGGAGAGGGTACATGTGCAGGGGGTACCTGGGGGTGCTGATGATCCTGGTCTTTTTCAAGGGTTTCCTATACTATTTGGGTCTGAGTTGTGGAAGTGTAGTGGTTATGTTCCTAAGAAGTTTAATTTTAGGTATAGGGAGTTTCCCTGTTGGGAGAAGGAGCAGGATGATGGGGAGGATGAGGCGAAGGCGGACGGGAGCCCTGAGAATGTGATTGATAGAGGGGCTGGTGTGTTGTACTCTTTGTCGAAAGAGAATGGGGTTGTTAGTATGAGGGGAGGTCAGTCTAAAGGGGGTGCTTCTGATAGGAAAGGTTCTAAGGATAGGAAATTGGAGAATGGTGAATCTAAGAAGTTGGGTTCACCTGGTTTGTCGAAGAAAGAACCGGGTACGAGTCGGTCGATTGTGGTTCATTGTAGTAAGAGAAGTAGAGAAGATTTGGGGCTGTCCAAGGATCGTGGTGGGAAGAAGAAGAGTAAAGCTAGTCATAGAGAACCGGATGATGTGAAGAAGAGTAAAGTTCAAAATTTTAAAGCAGGTAATTGCTGGAACTCTTAATGCTGTTTCATTGATATACTGAATTGCTAAATGTGTTTTGCACTTTGCACAATTTCTTTTGCTCATTGATTTTGCTTTTGTTTTTTATTTTTATGTTAGTTGTCATACATTCAACTAGTGCTAGGCAAGCTGAAGTGTGTGAAAGCAAAGCTCACAAAGTAGCATCAAATGGTAGCCTATCTGAGGGTAGTAACATAGAAAAACCCAAGAGAAATGCTGCTACTGTTGAGGGAAATTTGATACTTAGGTCCCCAGAAGTGGCTGGACTTGAGTGTTCAATTGAAAAGAGGGTCAAAGCAGAAAAGCCTGGCCATGATGCTACTGATGGTTCTCAGAAGTCTGCTAAAACCGATGCAGTAATTGCGGAGAAGGACAACAACACTTTTAGTCCTATAAAGAAAGAGGTATGTTGGCTGATTAAGGTCTTCCACTGTGCTTTATGCTGTTGAACATGTTTTATTTTTTTTGCTATGAGTTATGACCACATAATTATGTCTTTCATTGGCATGGAATAGTATCCATGATATCGTGGTATAATAAACTAAAGGCTCCTTATGCAATATTACACAATATCTTTGTTAATGTTTATTGTTATTCTGTATTTCTTCTGTAGCTAAGAGTCTGGGTGTGTCTTTTCACCCAAGCTCACTTGTTCCCAATTTATATGGTTTAGAACTTATTGTGGTTGTAGATTGAACCTTGTGTACTTATTGGAACTTTTCTTTGGAAAACAGCCTTTGTATTAGTAATTGGACTTAATGTGCTTGCACAGAAGACTGGCTTTTTGTTTATTAATGTTTCAAATCATGCTTTACATGTTTAGCCACACAAAATTTAGCATAGTAATAAAAGATTTCCTAGGCTATAGACTCTAGAGTAATTTACTTATGAGATTGCTGAGTAATTAGAATTATTGCCTCTGTTCTGTATTTTTGTTTGTTGTTCTTTGTGGGATATCTGAAAAGTCTTTCCCAGCTTTAGCAAAGCTTTGTATCAGATGATTATTGATAACTGTTTCACTCATTATCCCCATAGCTTTGTTGATTGGGTTCCAGGATATCTGATACGGGTTTTAGGTGCATATATGACTCATCAATGCTCATAATGGCTTATAGTGGCTCGAACTGTTAGGACTTGGAGAGTCGGAGTCGTGACTATGTCCTAAGTTTGGTCATGAGTATCATAACTTTTTAAGCATAAGAGTGTTTGAAATTCCAAATTTTTTTGGGCTCTTGGTTCTACTTATTGCCTATAATTAGTTGTTTGTAGAAACAATGGCTGAGATTGGTGCTAATAGTTGATGAACACCGTGGAATTTTGATGCAATCCTAATGGTTGTGTTTGCTCTGTTTTGGTTCATCGTGGACATCCTTAAATCATAACCGTGGAAATTTCAACAAATTACTATGAAATCGTGATGTGGCCGCATGGGTGAGTTATAATTCCATAGTTTCATAGTTTGATACAGATATCACACCCATATATGAGATATGGTGTGTATGTTGAGATGGATTCTGCCACATTGCCAGAATTTGTTGATTTTGATATTTGAGTTTTTTGTCCGAAACTACCTATTAAAAGCCATTTTTGTGAGAAACTACCTAATAATTTTTTTTTTGTAAGAAACTACTTATTAAAATGAAAATGTTGTGTCTATTAGTGGATTTTCACCGTTGACTAATTTTTCCGATGTTGACCATCCACTTGCCATTCACGTGAACTTTTAAAACCTTTTTTTTCCCATGCCCCACCAACAATGCCACCTATCATGTGACCGATTGAGGGTGGTCAAACGCTGGAGAAATTAATTCATTATATGTTTTAATAGGTAGTTTCTTACAATATTCTTACAACATTATATGTTTAATAGGTAGTTTCTTACAATATTTTTATTTTAGGGTAATGATATATGTAGCCCTTAGGGCTATGTATAAGCATTAAATATAATTCTTAAAATGGAATTAAGTTGGAAATTCATGACAAAATCACGCGCAGATCAGTGTAATGAATGATAATCTATCCTCATTATATTCTTTTTAGCTTTTTATACATAGCCCTTAGAGTTATGGTTATCATTTTCCTTTTTATTTTAATAGGTAGCTTCTTACAACATTTTTTTTATTAGGTAGTTTCTCACAAAAAATTGCTTTTAAAAGGTAGTTGTTGACAAAAATTCCTTGATATTATTACTAGTACGAGCATCAGAAAGTATTCTCTATATCACCTCCTCACGTGACATTCAATTTAGGTCTTAAAAACTTTATATGACTATCTTTTAAGCTCCAATGGTGATACTCTAGTTCTATACTTCTATAAAATTACTTTTATTTGAGACTCAAATGTCCAATGGTAAGATTCTTCCATACTCCTTCCGTTTTTAAATACTTGCTTCACTTTACTTTTGTGGCCGTTTTTAAATACTTGCTCTATTTCTTTATTTGGAAAGATTTTACAATAATTAATTCATTTCTCTCAACTAGTAGACCCAACATAAATCGGTATTTTATTAATTTCATATTCTCTCTCCTCAATTCTCTCTACTAGTTTTGCTTTTTACAATGTTATATTTTTCAAACAACCCAACTACCACCATATTTTATTACTTTCTCCAATTTCTCCTAAAACTCCGTGAATGGAGAAATGGAGCAAGTATTTAAAAACGGAAGGAGTATAAGTCTTTAAAATTATTTTTCACCTATACATTTGTTGAAGTCATATTATTCTTTGTTTGAAAAAAATAAATAGAAAACATTCCATTTTTAACAGGGTGAAAACTATTATGAAGTATCTAAATATGTTAACTATTCTCAATCTGCTACTTGCCCGAGGCTCTCTTCTGACAATATTTTTCTCTAAAGCCCCGTATTGGAGATGCTCTTATGTCTTAAGAGTATTCAGTGGCGGACCCAGGAATTTCCGACTGGTGAGTCACAATCGATAATCAAATATGTAAAAAAAAATTTCACAATGACATGTAAGGAGACATTTACTTCCTAAACTTGAAAATAAACAACACGATTGGAGACCAAATTAACTACAGCGGATGTAGCCTAAATACATATCAGTCCGCAACATGTTTTCCAGGATGATCAATAATTTTGAAGCAATGCCTCAAGGCGTAAAAGCAATCCTTTTTTGGCACTTCAATATGATTCAAGCATATGATCAGGAATAAACACGAATAACAATTGATTCACAATACAAGTATACAATTTTCCCAGCATGAAATAGATTCAAGAATTACAGAAATTGCCCAAATTAAAACCAAAATTACAGAGACTCACCCATATCCAGACAAATTAACAATATACCAACTCTTGTTGATTAGAAAATGATTGATAAGCTGAGTCTTCCCTGCATATAAATTCAACAACCTAATCAAACACAAAGTTAACAAAACAAATGAAATCACAAGTATGAATCATATGCAAATAACCCCAACAACGAATTACCCCTATTCATAATTGGTTTGACGGTTCATATTCAACTAAATCAAGCAATATTCCCCAGAAAAATTATTTACAAAGATCATCCAAATAGAAAATTGACAAGATTACAATACTAACTAATAATTAAAAAGCTTAAAATTGACAAGACTAAAATCAACAAACTAATATCTCCACTAGTCTATACGGAACTTCCAGCCGAATATGCGACTAGCACCACTAAGCACTAACCAGTCCAAACTGTAATCTAATTATAAATTTATAATCCTCCTTACACTAATAGTTTAATTGCTGTCTTATACAATGTCCGGCATCACATATTCACAATTTCACATAATGACATAAACAGATAAACTAATAAGTTCAATTTAACAGTCAAAACACAATTTACACAAATAATGCAAATTCAATGAACATTCACCGTATATACTAATTTTAAGAGACAAGTAATGCAAATTTGATCAAAAATTCACAAAAAAAAAAAGAAGAATCAATTGATGATTACCTACCTTGCTAGGCGGAGGCGGCAGGCGCTGAATGATTGAGGCGAGCAGCGGAGCAGGCGGAGCAGCACTGCAGCAGGGCCATGCCCAACACTCAGCAAGACAGCAAGTCAGCGACTAGGCACTGGAGCAGGCGACTAGGCGAGCAGCAGAGGACAGAGGACAGAGCACAGCTGCACAGAGCACTGGAGGCTGGAGCAAGCGACTAGGCGAGCAGCAGCCAGCAGGCCAGCAGCACAGCCTGAGCAAACTAGCGAAGAGCAGTAGATTATGAACAATTAGTCAATTAGGGATTGAGTTGATAACTAACATTTTACATTTCACAAATAAATAAAAAAAAAGCCGAAAGATGAGTAGATGAGTAGATGACTAACCTGAAATTATGCGAAGAGGAAGATGAAGCGAACTAGCGAAGAGGAACTGAGGTCTGAGGAAGAGGCGAAGAGGAAGATGCGAACTTGCGAAGAGGAAGAGGCGAACTGGCGAAGTGGGCTAGGGCGAAGTGGGCTAGGGCTAACTCAGACGTTAGAATTTTTTATTTTTTTTATTTTTATTTTTTATTTTTTATTTTTTAAAAAAAAAACTGAAATTTTTTTTTGGGCCCTGGTGAGTCACTTGACCCACCAGGCACAAGCCCAGGTCCGCCACTGAGAGTGTTTGTTATTATGTATGCTGATTTCACACTATTGCTTAAAGGTGTTGTTAATGAGGGGATTTTTTTATTTTTTATTATTATTTTTTTTTATATAAATACCAAATGTGTATCAATGTAATGTGAATAAATGTTGATAGGATGAAAATGTACTCTATGTATGGTAATCTTAGAGGACATTAATATCAGGAAAATCCAATAAGGGTTAGTGCATACAAATTTTTTAAAGTAAGAAGCACCTTTAATATAAGCGTATTATCCTTATTAGTTGTCAGCTTTTCTAGCCCCTAAGACCGAGTCCTTTTGGACTCGTAATTTGGATGGGAGGATCAAGTTCTCGTTCGTATGGGGCAATTACAAAACATTAATACATATTTGTGTTTAGACACTTATCTTTACAAGGAAGCCTTCCATTGCCCCAAATGGATGAGGACTTTAAACTCCCATCCAGAATTACGCGTCCTAAAGGAGAAACATGTTGTTTGCGAGTTAAAATTGTGTGGCAATACCACAAAAGGACGACTGTGGTGGTTGTTCAGCTGTAATTCATATGCTAAGTGTTTGTGCATTATCTTTTTTTTTTTTTTTTCCTTAGAAAATAATATGAATATAACTAAGGGGGTGTTTGGTTCATCAAGTTGGAATGGATTGGTATGAAATCTCATAGTAGAGAGGTATGAATTCTAAAAACCATACTTGTCCAAAGTTGTTTGGTTTTATTGTTGGAATGGATTCCATCCTTCATTAATGGAATGTATTGTGAATATTAGGGGGAGGGGTGGGTATGGGATTCCATGGGTATGGGGGAGAGTTAGAACCCCTTGGGTATGAGATTCCCTCACTAAAAACCACAACCAAACCAAAAACTAGATTCTAACTCCATTCTAGATGATCCAACCAAACGACCCCTAGTATAGTTCAACAGTGAGTTTTAAAAACTAACATGAGTAGTGTAAGTATGACTCATTTTTGAGTTTATTATACATTTTGCATCATATGACTTTTTGTATCTCTAGTAGGGTTACCAAGTAATCCCTATGTTGTCGTTGTATCTGATGGATGGGCTATCTATTTAATAATTATGGAGTGTATATTATGAAGCCTTGGAAAGTGATGACTGATTGAGCCACTTTGGCTGCAAATTTGCTTCTAATATTTGGGTTCCAAGGCAATTGACCAAAGTATGCCCCTAAGACTCTTTTACGCATGTTCACATATTTCTGTTCATTCATGAACGCTTTAACACTTGTTCACTCATCTACTCACATGCATTGTGTTTGCAAGGATTGACGCACAAGATTTTATATGTGGTTTTTAAAATACTTTCTTTTGACAACAACCTTCAAATGGTCTTCATCTTTGAGTATGACTGGCTATGCGTCCAATTTCTTCTCTTTCGTTTCTCATCTCATTCAATTATGGAAAAGTAGATACTTTACTTACCATTCCTTTCCCGTCTCCAAATTTCCTTATCTGAACATTAAGTGAAAGGGAATTGGAACTATCGCATCTCGCACATACGATATTATGTTGTATGTTGTTCAGTTAGGATCAAAAGGAGTATGATTAGTACCTTTTACTATGAAGTGATTAAATAAAATGCATTCTGATTTGTTCATCATGCCTGCCTTCTTGCTGTGCCCCTAATGCCTATGCTGCTACTTCCCAGGTCATTAGAGGTAGCCATTTCCTCTTCTAATATCCCTGACTCATTTTCTGGCTAATGTCTTAGAGACAATTTAGGATGAAATAACAAATGGGCAAGGAAAGCTTAGCATGTGATTGTAGCTTTTTACTCCCATGGAAATTATCTTTGCAGAGCAGATAATTGATTGAATGGGGATTGGGGAGGGTTTTTTTTAAACACTACTAGCAATATTTTCAATCTCTCTTTTCTGTCCACCCCCCCCTTCCCCCCCTCTTTGTTGGTAAGCTTAGTTTTCATCCTCTTTTTTTTAGATACATCAATGTTTTATTTAGAAGTTTCAATATACATGCATCACCTTCCTTTTCAGTAAATAAATTATCTCGCTCTCTCATCTCCTATAATTACCTCGGAGTCCGTGATTTTAAAAGTGATGCATCTAAAAAAAAAAAATAGGAGGTATTATAAATTTATAATAATAGGTGTAATTGAAATGGTAATACCATTGCAATTTCAGCTCTATATGTGTAAGTCAGTTTCTTCTAAGACATTCATTATAAGAAATCCAAACGTTTAAGTAGTCCCCGCTACATTTCTATCCTTGGCTCACACTTGTGCCATGTTGATTACGTTCTGCTATAGAAGAATGATTGCATTGTTACCTTGTTGTCGGCTTTATGTTTATTTATTAATAGCCTTACATGACTGCTTTACAATACGATTGCTGATTTTTCTTATATGCTAGGGACTTGGTTTAGATGTCATGGATAAAAATCAAGGAGTGCTTCCAGTCGTTCCAGAAGGCCGAACTAGTGATATTTCGATGCTAAAGCCTATCACTGAAGATGTAGATATTGCTAGGGTAGAAGTTAATAATACTGGGGTTGCTAAGGATATAGAGACCACTGTGCCTTTGATCTCTGGACATTGTGCTAGTAAAACAGAATCAGATACTGATAAGCCTAATGGGGTTTTGAGGAGTCGTCCTTCTGATATTGATGTGGAGTTACATTGTTCTGAGCAAATATCATCTCCTGATCGAGAATGTGAAGACTCCAAACGGAATGAGGTTGTTGCAACTAGTTCTCAGCCCCTTGGGCAAGAGGTTCAAGACAACGAAAAAACTTTTCAGGCACTGAGTGGCAATCAGCTCGTGAAAGATGAAGAATTAGTGGAAAATCAATGTAATAACAAAGTGAATTGTGAGGGTTCAGAAAATTCCGATGAGGTGCAGAGAACTCTTTCAGACGTTAAAGAAGTTACAAAAGTTACAGGTGAGGTATCAAAATTGAGTGGGGAAATCCTACCTCCACTAGCCAGTTATCATAAAACAGTGTCTGTTGGAAAATCGTCGCCAAGCTCTTCAACTATTGTCATCTCTAGGTCTTGTCTTTCTGATAAAAATAGGGCTGGAAGCTCACAGAATCAGAGTTCCATTGGCAAACGACCGTTGTCAAATTTCAGTATGGGTACTAAGAAGGAAAATGCACCTCATGGTCAAGCTAAAGATGAAGATAAATATGAAAAAACAAAAAGCATATTTAAAGATCAGTCAAAATCTTCCAGCAATGCTGTGTTGAAGGCATCACAGCCAAGCAAGCCTCTGACGAGTCCTATTCTTAGACATCATACTTCTCTAGGAAAGGATTCATCAAGGCATTTATCTTCAAAAAAGTCCTCCACTGATGGTGCCTTGCTTCCTTCAAGTACTGACGAGACTGCTGGGACACAGCAGACTCAACATGCTTTAACTGGGCAAAGTAAAAATTCAGCTTCTGCTGGACAACATAGAGGGGAAAAAGTTCTTCAGCCAAATTTGCAGTCATCCAAGTCAACTCAGTCATCTTTGGGTCACCTGCCACCTTCGTCAAGTGCCCCTGCTGGATTAAGTGATGAAGAGGTTAGAATAAAATAATTGTATACTTTCGATATAAATATAAGTATATCGATATTTTTTTTTACTACCTATTATCTTATTCTTTCTTTTTTATTGATACAGAAGCTGTTTTTTACAATTTTTGGGTTTTGTATTGCAGCTTGCTTTGCTCTTACACCAGGAACTTAACAGCTCCCCCAGAGTTCCTCGAGTACCACGTGTACGTAATGTTGGGAGCTTACCTCAGTTATCTTCTGCCTCTGCAACAAGCATATTTAACAAGCGCAGTGCTAGTTCTGGAGGGAAAGATCAGCAGACAGTAAGATGCTTCCTTTATTATAGTAATAAATCTAATAAATAACTGTTTTTTTTTTTTTTTTTTTTTTTTCTTTTAAAAAAAATAATTTATTTTATTATTATGTCTGTATTTTCTTTCCTGGAGCCTGATAGTGGTGTTAAGGATCTTTGCTTTACATGAATTCATCTATGACTATTTTGTCCTTACATCAATTTCTTATTCAAGCATCTGATTGTGTGTAATTGTTGTGCTAGTTTTCAAGAAGAAAGAACAAGGATGGGTCTCGCAATTCTCGTGATCTAGATAATGACGCTAGGAAGGTAGACAGGGCACCTTCATCTCCTGATTCCGTAAAAACATCTGATGCTTTGACTCAAGCAGAATGTGAGTCAATACATTCTGTGAGGAAGAATGGTGAAGATGTTTCCACATCAGCAGCAAATAGTGGTCCATCCTCCACTGATGCTAATGAGCGAAAATCATCATCTACCCGTGATTCCCCTGTCAATAAGCCTGAATATGATACAGGCACCAATAAGGGCCTTGCTCCAATTCATCGCACTCTACCAGGTTGCTGCAGTAAAATGTGATTAATTTTTATTTTATTTATGATTTCAAATAACGTGGCATCACTAATGGATGGTTTTTGTTTTTCCTCACACTTGTAGGTCTTATTGCTGAAATTATGGACGCGGGCAGGCGTATGACTTATGAAGAATTGTGTAATGCTGTCCTTCCGGTGAGTTCCTGCAGTTTGCATGATGCTTTGATGTGTTTAATATAGTATTACAGTTCAAGTGGGAGGCTCTGAATCTCTGATGGCTTTTTGCTGATTAATCTTTACAGCATTGGCAAAACTTGAGAAAGCACAATGGCGAGAGGTATGCCTACTCCAGTCATTCTCAAGCTGTACTTGATTGTTTGAGGAATCGGTCTGAATGGGCACGATTGGTTGATCGTGGTCCCAAGGTATGTTATCATCCCATTAAATCAACTGCTTCTTCTCTATTTTTGCTCACTTTCGTCAGTCATTCTCTTCATCACTCTTGCTGTTGTTTTTGGTGACCAATTACACCAAAGACAACTTGTGGATTTTTCATGATAGTTCCAAAATTTTGAAATCTTTCAGCTGAAAACTTATACTCCGTATTTTGACCCTTGAATTTTTGGATTTTCTATTTCAGTATACCCCTCTCTGCTGGCTATTAATGACTATAGACTAATTAGCAGATATGTGACATGCATATGATTGTTCTAGTCCCTACCAATAGCTGCATGCTGGAGATGGTTAAAATTGTTGATTATATATTTTGGTCATGTGGAGGATGTATAGGTGCTTCATTTTACTAATGATTAAAGGGTTTTTTTTTTCCTTTTCCCAGACTAGTGCTAGTCGAAAGAAGCGCAAGGTTGATGTTGAGCCTTCTAATACCGAGTCAGAGGATGGTGAGGACAGAACTCGTAGAAATGGTAAGAGCAAGAGCTTTGATTCAAATAAAGATGAATTTCCTAAGGGCAGGAGGAAAGCTCGAAAGCGTAGGAGATTAGCCTTGCGAGGAAGAGGGGTTAAAGATGATCGTAGAAAAACGAAGAAGGGAGCAGGTTCTGATGACTCTGGCACATTTTCTAATTCCAGTGAAGACAGTGGTTCTAGTGATGCTGACAGCCAAGGAAGCAGGCGTGCAGCTAAAAGTGAAGTTTCTGCCAGTTCAGCTGATAATGATGCCTCGTAGTGTAAACTTTGAAGCATGTAAAATCCAGTTGACAGCAAGTGTTATATACTAATATGTTGTGCGGGATTCTCCAGTCAACATCGAGAGTTATATACTTAAAATGCAGTGTCGTTTCTCAGCAGCCAATCACATATCTCCTCATATGGCCTGGGAAAACATTTGGTTTATTGCAAGAGCAGGAATGCTGTTATCACAGTGTTAAAAGTGTTGCCTTCAAGTTTTGAGGAGATGGGCCTGCTTTCTTCCCCTAGAGGAAATGAAATTATTCCAGTTTTAGTGTTTACTATAGAGAAATACAAAGTAGGTGTTAGTGTAAATACTAAATTGTAGTATTCCTTTTTTTTAGCTCTTTTGTTGGAGGTTGAGGGGAGATGGAGGAATCACGATATTTAATAATTGTTTCTTTCTACTCTGATCCAGCTTGATTACTTTGATATATAAAGTGCTGTAAATTCTTTAATCTCATATTAATTGCTGATTTGCCTATTCTATTCGTAGTTGCTATTAATGTGGCTGTGGTCGGAGCTGGATTGCGTCATTTCTTTCTAAGACTTTAATAATGCGTGCCCTCAATGACTAATGCTTGTTGATACTTAAGCCGTACATAGATATTACACATCTTAGTACCAACAAAAAAAGGTCGATTGTTACCTACAAAACCTAAATTCTATCTTCTATGTTTGTTGCCTTATTGGTACTCCGTAGCTTGTTACAAAAAAAGAAGTATTTTTGTTGGTACTAAGATTGTTACTAGCACAACTTGGTGGCCTTTTTAGATTCAGAATGTATTACTCCGTATTAATCTCAAATTTGGATTAGAATTTTTCTTTCCTGAAAATTATGATGGAAAGTGATAGTTTCTGGTTTTCTTTTTAATAAAAATAATACGAGTAATAAAAATAAAGTTAATAGGATTTGAGGATTAAGAGTTTAAAAGCTTGTGGACTCGTGGTGAAAAGTGTTAAAATGATTGCAATTATTACATAGATTTTTCGCTTTATGTTGCAATTTGATCACCATAATGAATTTTTTTAACCTACATTATGAATTTATGAGTCATATCAAATTATTTTCACTTCAAACTTTGATCCAATTGCATATTTTCACATATCTCATTACAATTTTTCTTACATTAAATCAGACTTGGAATGGATCCAAACAAGTTATAAACAATTTATTCTTTATGGCAAAACCTCGATGAAAAATCAAAAAGGATATAGAATCTACACATTGATTTTTTTCACAATTTTGTTTGAACCGTATGCATCAAAAGGTGAGCAAAGCGCATGCGGAACGGACACAGAAAAAAAGAAGTGTGGAAGAGAAGCAGCCGAGCTCAAAGTCGTATCTTGCTTAGACCTATAAATAAAGCAGAGGTTATAGTTAACGCCGCTAGTAAAAAACCGAAATAACTAGTTAGAGTAGACATGAAGGGGCTAAAAAAAAGATGTTCTTTTTATACATATATGTTTCTAAAGTTGGCCTATTTGAGTCTTTCCTTTCTTTTTCACTATAGGAATCGACACAAGCACAACACAAGCAAAGAGGGAAAGAAGCAATCTAATGTGGGGTTTTTTCTCCCAATTGGGGCCCTCCCTTCACCACCCCCATGGGGATGGTCTACAGGGTTCATAACTACTCCTCTTACTACAGGACGCGAACTTATTGAATCCATCGTTTGGGCTCATAATAAATTAAAGGTTGCTCCTGCTACTCAGCCTAGAGCCTTGAGCATTATACAAGGACGTGCTGTAGGAGTAACCCATTACCTTCTGGGTGGAATTGCCACAACATGGGCGTTCTTCTTAGCAAGAATTATTG